AGCTTATCAAAAATTTGTTGAATTTTAATGCCATAGTCTGTTCACAGACAGATAAAGGTTTGGCAGAAGACAAGTGTTCTGAAAAAAACAACTTGAAGACAGCACACACATATATTCAACATCAAACAGGTATGGAGGACTTGTCTAACCACTAAATGCCTAGCACACACCAGCCCATTATTAACAACAGGGCTGGGAAAACCCTTTTGAGACATCAGTTCCAGTTCCCCATTCCTACAGGAAGAAGCATTAAATTGTGTACTGTCAAATTTTATCTTCAGTATGTTAGGTCTTGGAATAGTCTTCTAATAAGATCAACAGGGAAGGGAAAAAAACATCCTACCCACTTACAACTCCCTCCCTCCCCCCCACCATATATGCTTAATCGTTCTAATAGTTTAAAGTCTCTTAAACCACAAATAGTGTTTAAAGCATTCTCTCTCCTCTTTGGCATTTAAATTCCTCACATTTTACTACACAGGTGAAGGAAGAGATAACTCCTTGAATTCTACCAGGCTGAAATAGCCAATCACCCTCTTATCTTAAGGTGGAATTTTGTCTGTGGTCATCCCAAACCCACTCTCTAGGTTTTGCTTTGAATTTGTCTGTCCTGGGCACAGGTAAGTACCTACATTAAAGGAAAGCTCTCACTAGAACTTCTATTAATTCCTTCTGTTAGAGAAGCCCTACACGTTGCACATGACATGCACAACAGGACAGTTATATACCACTGATTAATCCATCTCCTTCTAACCTATTTAGTGAGGGACCTTCTTTCCCCACCAAGTATATAAACTTCCAAGTTTAACTATATGCAAAGCGACCTTATTGCCCCAGCCCTTCAATCTCCTTTATATGTTGGCCCTCTGCATCAATAATACTTCCCCCTCAACAGTATGACACGAACAGATTTCATTACTATGCTCAGCTTTCTGACCACAGGTCATTAATAAAGGTATTAAAAAAAAAAGTGTCTCTGGATATTATTCACTTGTATTTTCTCTTTAGGATCAAAAGCTGCTAGACTGCATTTACTGCCATCCTCTCTTTACACAGTTTTATACACATTCACACAAGTATTAGAAGTTCTTGTGTGACACCAGATCAATCTTTGCTATACTGCAAAGCTAACTTAATTTCTTGTGAAGCTTTACATTTTGTTTTTTCACCCCAAGAGGAAACAAAGAAAACCCAACCCAAACCAACCAAACAAAAAATTCACCTTCAATAAAGTAACCAAGAATGCTGTTAGATCAGATCAAATTAACAGCTCTATAGACCCGAGATCACATTTCCTTCTTCGGTAAGCACTGTTCATTAGCCCGCAGCCATGCTGTTCTAGCCACAATTTATCAGATTGGTTTGTTTTGCAAGAGGATACAATCTACCTAAAACACCATAAGAAATAAACTAGTACCATGAATCTAGGAAAAATGCACAGAGCACACAGACACTCACTCCAGTAATGAAACGAAGCAAGGCTGAGCAAGTAAGTTTATTTAGCATTTAGCAAGCAAGTTTATTTAGCACTAATTTCCAGATAACACAGCAAGATTTGGACAAGATGACACCTTTTGCATTTCCTTACAAAATAATTCACTACCTGTAAAGCCTAAAGAACCTCTGTACAGACTAGATAGAAATCATGCATCTGAACTGTTGATGAACTCCCAGCCATAAACCCTCATGAACTGGGTATAGGTTATATATTTATAGCTTACCTTGGAGAGATCTCATTATTTTGTAACTGCTACACCTGGCAGAATGCCTGTGTTAAATTACATATTAAAACGTGTCTATATTAACAAATATACTGATTGCATTATTATTTTATGGACTTTTACTAAAATTTATTTTGAGCATGGTAAGCATGCATCAGATACAACCAATTGTGACCAGATGTTATCACAGACTCAGTCAGCTTTCTAGCACTTCACTTTGGTACTCAATTAAAATACAAAATCACTAATGTCCTACTGTTAATGGATTTGCTAGTTGTTTACTGTGAAATAATAAATTACAAACATGATCCGTAAGCTTTGTGTGTGCATTTATAATTTTTGTTAAATCAATAGTTTCATATAAAGGTTTAGCTTATTGGGTTGTGGGTGGAGGGGCCAGAGGGGAAGGTGTTGCCAAAATTTTGCTTTCTGTCATCATAATCTTTATTTGTAAGTAACTGATGACCAGTGTGTGAGACTTCACACACAGCAGCATGAAGTCTGCCAAGCAACACCGTATTTACTTATGGCATGTAGACAAGGCACATGCAAACAAGCACAGGTAATAAATATTTAGCATCCATGCTAAATACCAAGCAGAAACACACTGCTTCCCTGTGCATCCCAAGAGGTTGTGCTATCATTCCTCACACATGCCAAAGGCTGTTGTCACATTCGTCCCGAGCATAGTTCTGCCTCTGGAGTGACAGCTTTACATCCTCCCTCCATGCAAACTGACACGAATCCTATTTAGCTGTATTAAGATTAAATGAGCTGAGTTGGGAAGGATCCAAATCCAGTCTCAGTCTAAAGCAGACAGACTGAACAGAGTGTTTTTCTAAAATAGCCTCTGCAAAATTCCTCTTTTCCATTTACAATAAGGTGGCAGTTAGCCCCACTGAACAGAAGATTAAGTAAGAAAAAGGCTTATATTTAGAAAGTATTGACACAGAGTCTTGTCCATAAATCCTAGCCAGAAGGTCACATCTCAGAAGTCTTTACAGTACTACTGTCCTTCCCCAGTGGATGGTGGCTTACACCATCCACCTTTGTTATTCACTGTCTACTCAGCCAAGAAACAAAGAAAAATCACCATCTCTGAGGGAATACAAACCTAGCCTTGCCAAGCAAAAGGATAAACACAGCTGTATTTTTTTAAGAGATTAAAGAGTTTTTGTACACCTTATCCATGGCTTCCAGTGAGACTTAGTCCTAAACCAGGATTTCAGATTATTCTAACCAGGATATTTCAAGAAAGCACTCTGTAATTAGCAAACAGCTAACAAGGCAGAAAGAGATTATTCACAAATAACCTTTTATATCCATACTTTAGAAATTATATACTTGCTTCCCAGTTACAGAAGGGCCCTCTCAGTTAGATGTTATTATATGCAGCAATATATCACCTCCTACTGATGAAATACAGCCAGAGAGACTGAACATTTATCAGTTCTTAGGACTGAGCACAGTTTGGTTTTGGCTGTTTTTGTCTTTTGTTGGGTTGGGGTTTATTTTGGTAGGTCTGTAGAAACTGCTTATGTAAGTTAACCTAAGCACTTCAAAAAAACCAAAAGTTCAACTAACTTTAACGTTATAGTGATAAAACATTAATTACTTATTACCACAAAGATAAGCTTGTTTGCTCTTATTTCACATTTCATTTAAGTGAGCTAATACATAAGTCCTTCACTGCATTGCATTTTAAGAAATGTTGCCTCTATTGAAAATACATAGTAACAACAATCTGTTCTGATTATGCTCTTCAAAGTTCAAAAGTGCGTCTGCTCCAACGACTGCTCAAAGCGCCGCATTAGGCAGTTGGCGCTCCGAGGGAATTACCGTCTCTAACCGGCACAGTAGCAGCAGACTTTAAAATAAAACAAACAAAAAAACCCACTAGAAGGTCGGAAGGGGAGGCGGTGAGGAGGTGGTGGTGTCAAGAGAAAGAAGGAGGGATAAAAAAGACCGTTCAATTGAAAAAAAAAAAAAAATCCAACCAAAAAAGGAAACAGGTCTTCGATAATAACTGGTAAAGACCAGCGTGGAGAAGTTTTAATAAAAGTCCCTAGAATTTATTTTTTAGGTGGCAAAACAAGGAGGGAACAAGCTTTTTCCTATTCTTTACAGATGCATACATGCTTTACAGATGCATACGTGCTTCCTGTAGATAAATGCATAGGCCACAAGCATACTAAATGGCAGCCGGCGCAGTTGTAGCATTTCTCGTTAAGCGGGAGCGTGATGAAAGCTCTTCTTTCGAGAGTTACTCGGGAGCTCTGTGCATGTCTAGCACGGAAGCGCTGCACAGGACGGAGCAAACCCACCGCCTGATCTCTGGAGCACAGAGATCCGGGGCTGCGCGCTCCCTTTCCTGGCGGCGGGACGGCGAGGAGAGCCTCCAGCCCACCCGAGGCGCCTCCGTCCTGCCCGCGGCCCTGCGTCCGCAGGCAGCCGCCCCAGCGATCCCTCCCGATCCAGCAGCCGCTGATGTGGCTCCCGAGCGGGGCGCCCGCCTCTCCCTCCCGGCGCCGCGCACAACTTCCCAGGGCGCTCGAGTCGAAACGCCCCGTCCAGTGGCGGGGAGCAGGGACCGGGACTCAGCCCTTCCAGCCCGGCAAAAGCCCGCGCCGCGACACCCGGAGGCGACCGCCCCGCTGGGCACCCGGGCTCGGGCGAGCCCCCAACGCCCAGCGCCGGGCGGGCGGGCCCCGGTGCGACCCCGCGGAGCGCCTCCCTCCCTCCGCGCCCCACTCACCGGCTTCGGCATTTTGGGGGTTGTGAGGGCTGCTGCTGCTTCTGCTACTCCCGACACAAACGTTCATGCAGCGCCTGCCTCGCCTCTGCCGAGCGCCCCGTGCGGAGGAGGTGTAGGAGGAAGGAGCCGCTCCCGGCCACGGCGGCAGCGCAGCCCGCGAGTGCGGCGCCGGCCGCCCGGCGGCGGGTTAAGTATGGCAGGTGGGGCCCGGCCGTGACTCACCGCCGCCGGCCATGCCACCGCTCCCCCCGGCGCCTGCCGAGTGCGGCACCGGCCTCGCCCAACTGCGGGGCACCCTTGCCGGCTTCGCTTCGACGTCCCCGGCACGCAGGGGGCACCGCGGCCCGTAGCCTCCGGCAGCCCCGAGCCCCCCGCCGTGAGAGACGGGCGGGCGGGCGGCAGGTGCGGGGGCGGCGCCTTCCGAGCCCCCGGGCACGGCCGGGCCGCGCGGGGCCTCGTGCGGCGCCCTCCGCACACGGCCCCGGCCCCGCGGAGACCCCCGGCCCGGCCCGGTCCGGCCCGGCCCGGCCCGCCGCGCCCGCACCTGCTCGGGCCGCGCCGGAGTCGGCGCTTCCCAAGCCTGTGGATGGCACGGGGAAAGCGTCCGGCACAGGCGTGATGCCTTAGGGGTGGCCTGTAAGAGTTGCTGTGTTTCTTGGAGTGCGAGGTCAGAAAATTTGATTACTTAGCAAAACACAGGCTTGCTTTGTGTAGGAAAGCATATTTTTAGCAATGTCAGCAAAAGAGAAAACTTTGAAAATCCATCTAAGCTCAGGAACTATAGACTATACTTCAGCTGGTTCTGACTTTTCGTAAAGCCTAAAAAAGTTCATGCAAGTAGTGTAACAATTGATAAGCATACACAGAAAACGAAGTTTGTGTCTCTGCCCCTTGTTCCTTCTCCCTCCTCACCCATGAACGTAATGCACTTCTGTGATAGTCTCTGCCAGGAGCTGCTGGCCTCCCACTGCATCTCCTTGCTTGGCTGGTCACAAGAACACATTGATTTACATAGTCATGGGCAACGAACGGCCTGTAGCACTGTGCCAGCAATGGCACGTAGTTGAGCTGTGAGATTGAGGAAATTGTGCAGTCTGTACCCAAGCCGCTGTCTGCAACACCCCACTTTAACCACTGTCTGTTTAGCATAGGACATAGGATTGGAACAGGGAGGCATAGAACCAGGAAAATAACATCCACTACATGGAAAATATAGAGGGTAGGAGAGAGCCTGGGAAATATCAAGGGATGGTGACAAAAAAGGACAGCCCCAAACAATACAAGTCTTGCTTTGGCAGAGTTCCAAATTATGTCTTCCCCCACAGAGTCCACCAAGCAGCACTTGGTTGTGCTACATTAAAATAAAAGAATCATGACTGTGTCAGGTCTGTGAAAGAAAGGGGAGGAGAGCCGAGTTGGAGGCTGAGAGAATTAATGGTAATATTCTTTTTCTGTTGCATGATCCTCAGAGATTAGAGGCGGCTTTACCATCAAAACAGAGCCATGGGGGTGGCAGCTTGCAACAGCAGGTGAGAAGAAATAGTCTAAGCTGAACAGCTTCCAGGAAAAGGGACATGGGATCAGACATCCTTGGGAAACAGATATGACCTCCATTTTCAGTTGAAACAATTCCACTGAGATTTACTTGGGTCAGGTTAATTTAACAAAATATACTGACACTCAGTTGGATTGGGTTAATTTAACAAAAATGTGATCTGTGAAGAGACTTTCTATGCTCTTCTGTTAAGCAATAAGTTTATGGTGGGATTCATGCCTTATTCAGCAGGATGACACTGGAAATGAACCAGACCAAATTATCACAGTGTTTTGGGTAGGCTGCCAACCACAAGAAACAACCATTCCAAGTAAGAAGTGCTGTAAGAACCTAGCTTCTGCAGCTCTCACTCAGAACCCTAAGTGACATTCTTAGATATTTTGTGGGGTGGGGGGGTAGAAAAGGATAGAGATGAGATATTTTCATGCCATAGTCTTAAAATACAGATTTTGGCTGTGACTGAAAACAGAAAAGTCAAAACAAATGTGTGTGTCTGTATCCCCTTGAAACAAAGCATTGAATTGATCTAATGGGAAGCCCATTTCCATTCTGGGAGATTTTCATTCCCAAAATCCTTTCCTGTCTATAGCTCAACATGGGCACAGAGACCATCACCCTGGGGCTTCACATTGAAGAAACTCCATGTCAGAGAGATGTCTCATTTAATACATCATATTTAGTCAGGTAAGTGTTTGTTTCCATATGTTAGTTACATATCCAAGCTTTAACCCCTGCTTTTGTTGGGTTTTTGTTGTTTTGGTTTTTTTTCCTAACCCTTACCATTGCTTCCTAAACATACAAACCTAGGGGCAAAAGGAATTTAGGCAACTAATAATTATGTGTGGCAACATACAATCTCTAGGTTCCTGTTTGCCACAGCACATAGACTTGTGCCATTCTCCCACAGTCACCTGCAATACATGGGGAAAGGTAGATACCTCAATGGCATCCATAAGTACCAGCTTGCCCAATACTGCTCCGCCCAAAACCAGCCACTGTGAACACTCTGAGCTTACACAGGAAGAATAGTCTTCAGTGGAAGGAACCAGAATAATTGCCAGTTTGGAGTATGTCTTAGATACCCTTCGCTTCCTTCCTGGGCTTTTTCCTCGTGCTAGGTGTGTTTTCAAACCCTCTTGCCTGCAGAGCTCAGTACCTTATTGAAGACTTGGCTAGGTAGGTGTCTTTGTGACAGTACGAAACTCTCTTCTACAGCTGGGTCACTCAGCTCCTTCCTTTTTATTTCTCTTCCCACCTGCCCCCTAGAAGGATGGGAAGGTATATAATGCAAGCCCCTTCTTCCCTTTTATACAGAATCCTTCCCATCCTTTCCGGACACAAACCAGTTCCCCTCTGCTCCAGAGTGATGGTAAAAGCCCTCAGTTCTCTGGATTTCCTGAAAGTACCCTGAAAATTAGTATATTGAATTTTGGGAGTATGGACATTGTGTATAATGCCGATAAGCGTTGTATACAAATGCTTAGAGACTGGATCCTGTTTGGAGTGTGTGTGAGGGAATATCAGAGAAGTCATGAAGTGGGCACAAAACAATCAACCCACGTCAAGACATCCTGGGGCAGAAGTTCAAATATAGAAAAAAACCAGATACAAATATGCAATCTGGGGAAAATTCCACATTAAAACTCTACAGAACTTGGTTGCTTCTGGATTTAGGCATTAGTTAAGCAAGAGAGAGCTTTTATGGCCACCTTAACCATATCGTCTTCAGTCAGACTTCACAATTAAGCATAAGACCCAAATCAAAATGAAGCCTTTAAGTCACAGGATTAAGATCTGCACTTACTCTTAACCTGCTTTATTAAGAGGATAGCATTACCAACCATTTACAGGAATTAATAAGGCAGAGGAGGTGACGAAAGAATCCCAATTGCTCAGCAGGTCAGTAGCAGAACCCAGTTTCTGTCTTCTTACCTGTAACAGTTCCTGTGACTTACTGACCCCTAACCAAACTGTGTCATCCTCATCAAGCCCGCCTTCCTTCTTTTAGAGAGAAGACCAATTTGATTTTCCTGTTATCCTTTAAGCGGTAATAAGATTTAAACTTGATGTGGATAATTTATGAATTCCAAGTACTTGTCTGGGTTTGCCCAAGCAAGTCCTATCGCTATGAAGTGGCTTTTGCTTAACAGGCTTTATGCTGGCCAATTTTTAGTCAACATAAAACTTCCTAAGTCAGATCATCCTGGAACTGGGAAACATGAAATTTTGTGCCCTAAATCCATCATTCTTTTTGTTCATGCAGAATCAATAGTCTCAAGAACAGAGAGATCTAAACTCCCTGTTTCTCTGAATAGAAAATTTCATCCAGGTTAGGCAAGGCATACCTGGGAGAGTTTTGCAGATTCTCTGCTGGTTTGTTTGCAGATTTTTTACTAACAAAACCCTATAGCAGCTAACTCTGTCCTCTTGACAACTCACGGACTATGCATTTAGTATAGCAGCTAGAAGAAAGGACATTCATTAGAGTAGTTAACGGAAAGGATGCCACATTTTGAGACATACATAGATTTAGGAGATTTGCTGTCATGTAGGACAGTCAAGAGTCTTTAATTTTCTTTGTGAACTGGAAGAGCTATAAGAGGAAAAAGAACCACATGGGATTACTGACAATAGTTTCTTTTTCATTGTGCATAGCTGAATAAGCAGCTTATTACCCATTGCACATTCTGAAATTTTGCCATTATAATTCCTGAAATGTCAGACTTCAGGAAGAGTGACCAAGGACCTGGTGAGGTATAGTTCTGCACTGAGAGCTGCTTCCTCACTACCCACACTGAGCTTACTGAAAACCTGACAGAATGAGGTCACAGTGGACCAGCATCTATTGGCAAAGCCAATGTCTTGAGACATTCTCTGGGTTTCTTATGAAGGGGATAAATGGTGTAAAAGAGCACAAGGCTTGTGCCTCATTTTTGCTTGTTCCTATGAGAAGCTGACGCCAAGTTCAGTTGCTTATTGTTCCTACATGAAAAGCTACTCTTTCCAGGTTCAGTTTTTTGTTGTTTTGCTATTTTTTTTTCCAGTAAGCACAGATTAGGGTTTTTCTTCCTGCACCAACAAGAGGTTAGGTGCATTCAGGCCTGGAAATAAACCTCATTCAATGATCCAGTGGTTACATGCTGGGAGATCCTTATCTTTGCCTTCCTAATCAATGATCCTAATCATCATTTTGTCTTCCAGCAGCACCTCCAAATAGTCCTTGGGATTATTTGACTCTTTGATTAGCCATCATGGAGCCCTACGAGGACATGGTAAATTATGAAGAAAAGTATATATAATTAAGTTTATGAAGGATTATTTTAAAATGTTGTAAGAAGGAAAAATAATCAGACAAGGCTTCAGGCTTTTATCTGTTTTGTTCTTACCCATCATTAAAGGAGAGAAAAACTTCAAGGGAGATTAGGTTTCTTCTCAATAAGTTGTAAGAAGCCTAAACACAGTTTGCTTTCAGTTCCCATGAGAGTTGTCTTAGTAACTTCTCTAGTAACACATTCTTCTTCTACAGGAAACTTTCACAGGGTGTGATGCAAAGTGTGCAATAAAATCTTCTTTTCAACTAAAACAAAATATAATTTGGCATTTACATTTTGTGTACACTGAGACTGAGAAATTATTTACAATGGATGGGGAAGGCAAGACTTAGTGGTAGGCAAAATACAGATAAAATATTACTCAAAGTAAAGGCAGGTTTAAACATGAAAGTGACCAGGGAAGGCAAGTCTATGGTAATCATCTTTGTAACTGAAATCCACATGAATTATTGATCTACCAACAAATAAACAAATAGAAAAAGCACTGAGAGTTTTCTGAATCTATTGAATAAGAACAATCATGTGACAAACCATTGTTTAAAAATGTGTGAAATGACGAATGAAGTTCATGACATACTGAATTTGTAGAGATTATACCATATGTGTAAATCCAGCAATGTTTGTCCAAGGCTCAAAGCAAATGGAAACTAGGGCCAACGCAGCTTTTACGTCTTAAAATGAAATTATGATCTTAATACTTATGATAAGAAAGGAAAGAGGAAGGGAGTTCCCCTGGTTAAGTAATCTCTATTTCACCTTGATATCTTCCTTTGTGCTTTCTATTTGAAATCTGATTAAAAGCAGAGCTGAGTGCCATATACTGCAAATACCCCCTGCAAATACCCACTACATCCAAGCACTTTCTATGGGAGCAGCTCTTTTTAGTGGCTTTTTTTTTTTTTTTTTTTTTTTAGTTTTGTTGCATTTTTTCATTTGACTGATTTTGCTTTTTAACATCAATGTAGAGATATATTGAGATAGTGCTGACAAAAACTGCATGTAACAAATGTAACAAACATTAACTAACTTAGTTCATGTGCTTCATAGACAGAGCACAGATCTGTGTTTAGAGCACATGAGAGTGGTAAGGAAAGTCAGGGCAAAACAAATGCCCACTGTTTTTTTTTTACTCTAAATTGTTTTATAATTACATATATTGCTGACATTTGTATTGCTCTGACTGTGGGAATGAGGCTGTAAGAGTTCAAAACCACAAGTAATAAGCTATTTCAATTTAACTAAGGGTGTCCAAACTCAGAATTTCAGAGCTAAGGGTTCAAAGTTCAATGTACAATTTATAGACAGGGTACCTTTTCTTTTCCTGCGATATGATACTGACTCACACCTTTTAAGATCAGTTTTAAGGTCACATTGTTTGACTTTCAGCATAAACTAAGCTCTTGAGTTTCACCTGCTGATTCTCAAATCCAGCATGTAATATTAGAAAGGCCTTAAACCCCAGTCTCAAGACTGAATGGCAGTGATTCTACCTCCTGATCAGTTCTCTCCAGAACCAAGTGCTCTTTCAGTGTAAGCTTTGAAAGTTGTTTACATTGACAGGTGTTTGTATTTCTCATTCAATTTCAGAAGCTGCATTATCTATAAGGCAATTCACAGTTAAATACTCAGCTAAAATAAAACATCTAGCATGGCTCTTGCCTTGCTTAAGTCAGTAATATAAGCAGGGCATTATTATGCAATTTGGTGCCAGACCATTTTCTCATATTTTTCTCTAATTGAAACAGAAAAAAAAAATTGATGCAGAGGTTACTGGGTAAAGTTCAGAAGTCCCAAATATCTAGCCTATTTTGCCGTTCAGGACTAGCTCTTTCAGATATCTTCTCATATTTTGCCTAGCCTGATTTAAGTGCTCTATGCAACACAGCTCTCTTTTGTAGTGGAAGACTGGTGAAAGACAGAATCTAATAGCAAGAGAAACAGAAAATATGTAATATTGGGGATCACTTTATTACTGGTCCATACATTATGTCTCCTGCTCTGTATCACTTGTGTTTGCTGCAGACATGAACATTTCCAAGTGTTATTAGGAGAAGAAGTTGTTTGTTCTCCCTCATACCACAGCTTCCCAATAGCAGTGCAGGCTGCACAGGGAGCTCTCAGCACTGAGTAAGGAGAGAATATACTAATGGAGATTCTTCACACAGATAGAGAGTAGCTTTGACCTCAGTGTCTCATGAGTAAGACACCAAGCTGGAGTCTGAAGTACAAGTATCCACCTGTCTCTTGGGAAATCCTCTGTTTGCTCTGTGATAACAATAATGCTGAAAACAGGCGGGCACTGATGAAGACGTACGACCAAGTACAAGGGAGGTGCAAGCAGGGTGA